GGAAAGAGTTGTTACTGTATTGCTTGTTCGTTTTAAGGGAGAGTCATTGAAAATTTTTTTCACGGATTATTAAAGTAACACTTTTCTGTAGGAAATTTAGAAGAATACAGGAGGGAATAAAAATCAGCCATAATCCCACTACCATATTATATATAACAAAATTGGGACCGTACTCATACTGCAACTTATTTTTTTCTCACTTGATACTAACATAGGAACTTAGGTTTAGAAAATAGATTGTTTACCATGGTGTCAGAATTTTTTTCAACCATCCTAATATTTTTCTGAGGCGAAATCTGAGGCCTTTAAAGGAATGAATGACCTCCGCTTTAGGCATACCTTTAAATTTTGAACAGTTTTAAAGTGCTCCATTTTAAATGAGACACCAGCACTCAGGCGAGCCCGACATACAGCGGGTTTGACTCCAGAGAGGACGGAGCTCCAGGCCGGCCGGGGTCCTCGAGCCTGCCCGCTGGCCTCTCAGCCCAGCCTGGCTGCAGTGCCCCCTGGTGGCGGAGGCAAGGGCGGCCAAGCACGAGGCTGAGGGTCAGATCCACCGCGGAACCCTTCTCTTCCGAGAAATCCTTTTAGTCGCCTTGGGAGCCGCTTTCTTTCACAAGGCCCGCATTTGCCTGTCTGACCCTTTGCCGCACATGCCGACTTTGAGCGCAGACTTGCGGCGCTAGAGCGCCCTGGCTCTGCAGACGACCGCCAGGTGTCCCCGAGGCGGGGCCAAGCTCAGCCCCGGCGCCTGGGGCTGGTTTCCGCGCCCCGCTCCCTCGTTACCCCGTGTTGGGAGTTTGAGAAGTTTTGAACTTCCGGGTTGGCTCTCCCGGGCTTGCGGTGTGGTGGCCAGCCGAAGGGCGTCGCTGTGCCCAGTGTTTGGGCGTGTCCCTTTAAACTTTTTTGTTTTTTAAACTTCGGGGGTGTAGTCACGGCCCTCCTCTCTCTGCGGGCTGCTCCCTGGCCACCCGGTCCTTCCCTCCGACCCGCCTTCCAGATGCTGTGGAGTCATGAGCCTGGAGGGCGCAGGGACCCCTCTGGTGACCGAGGTGATCAAAGGTTAGTGTGGAGGGCGCGCCCTCGGGACACCCCCTATTTAGAGGGCATCGGGCAGTGCACGGGGGTCGAGGAGGCCCCCACTGCTGGCCAAAATGTGCCTTTAAACTTCGGGGCCAGGGCCGATGCTGTCTCTTGGGCGTGGGTGGCCTCCTGGGACTCCTAGTCACCAGGCGTGGTCCTGCCTTGGGGCGAATCCGCACAGATGTGTGCAGTTCGGACCCTTGTGTCCTTACACCATGGCTGGTGGGCTCTCCACCTCAGGGAGCAAAATCCGTGGTCACTGCATGGGGATCAAGGGTCATTTTTGGTTGAAAAGGAGTCAGCCCCGTCATCCGTTTGGGTGTCTGTGGTTGCAGGGCATTTCAGTTGAGGCATTTATAGGGAAATAAATACAGCAATTGTGTGTACTGAATTGTTTAAATTACTATTATAAAAAATTGTTTAAATTACTATTTGGGGAAAGGATGCCAGCTGGTGTCCTTTGTTTCTTACTATTTTAAGGGCTGTACTTAATTTTGCCACAATTTGAATCTAAGTATTCTACTAGCACTATTTACTAGTATTACTACTGCTAGGTATTAAGGATGGCTTTGCTTCACCAAGGATTTTTAGGCAACTCTTTTTGGGGTGGGGCAGGAGAGGAAGGGCGGCGCCTCTGAACCTTACCCTGTTACCATTCTTGCTAAACTTCACAGCAGCCTAACTGCTTTTATGCAACGCAGGTTCATCTCATACTCATCCTGCAGAATACTCTCATTTGCCTCTGCTATAATGGTCCGATTGTAAAAATCATTACAAAAGTAGTGATTCCGAATCAAAAAATAAGTAGCGACCCCTAAGAACATTGGATAAACATGTGGTTTGTTTTGTGTGTTATAGCCGTAAACATTAATTTTGAAGCAATTTTGAAAGCGTTTTCTCTCTACTTAAAACATAGTTTCTTATTGAAATGACTTTTCAGGATGTCTTGAAAACATAGCGAAACATAGGGAAAGTCATCCAGGCTGGTGGTCTAGCTATCAAATGCATGCTGCCATTTACCGAAATTTCTTAGTCCAGGGTAAAGTGTTCCAGAAATCAAGCCGTATCGCTGTATGAAAAGTCATTTACCGCTGTTGAAACTTATATTAAAGGCAATTTCTCCTTTTTAAAACTTGCTTACTTATTATTACCCACCAAAATAGCCAGAACATTTTGAAGTTACTCATTGATAACCTTACCATCTGAAACATGCATGGGAAAAAAATAAAAATTTGACTTCATCTGAAAAGAGTTGCAACATGATATATGAAACGTTTTTTAATGATGTGAAGGAAGGAACATTACAATTTTTCCATTTCAGATCGCCTTTGTTTTGCCATTCTCTACAGCAGACCAAAGAGTTCATCAAATGTACATTATTTCAGCATAGATAATGAACTTGAATATGAAAAGTAAGTATTGCTTTTTCAAAGATTGTTAGTAACTTTTTTTTATTTTGAAGAATCTAAAGGTATGTTTATAAAATTGGAACATTACAAATCTGTTGACTGTTAGTTGCAGGATACTTTTTGCTTTAACCCTTGGTAATAAAATAGATCCTTAGGGGAAAAAATCAGAATGAAAGAACCTTCCTAAATTTAACAATTTACATTTGAAATTCTAATAGTTTACAGTATAATGAGATATAAACTAGAGTACTAAGATGTTGTGTTTTTGCTAGTGGAAAAATATGTGTGGAAAAACAACTTTTTTATTCAGAAAGTATTTTTATTTTGTTATTTGGGGTTAGATTTAGGCATTGTAACACTTGTCAGGTATTTTAATAGTCATCTTTTACCGGAGTATTTCTTCCATTAGTAAGGCAGTACCTTTAAGTTGTGTGACCTATAATAATTTGGTGTGTGCTTTCTTGCTTTATTTTGATCTTGTAGCTACAAAAAGGTGTTTATATTCAAAGCATCTGGAATATACATACACACTTTTGTTTTTCATTTTTGCAGCTTCTACGCAGATTTTGGACCACTCAATCTAGCAATGGTTTACAGATATTGCTGCAAGATTAATAAGAAATTAAAGGTAAAGTATTCCTTATGGGAGATTTCACTTAAGTAATCATTGTTAGCCTGATCTTGCAGGGAGGAAGGGAAATCTGTTTTTAAAAAGGAAATGTCATGTTTTTCACTGGAGTGGTATTTGAGACATACATGTGGTTTATTGTTGTATAAAGTCATAGTATATCTGTTTGTTTTCCAGAGTTTTGATGAATGGCTTAAGTTTGGGTCATTTGGTTCTGGTTTGGATTGTTGATGCTCATACTTGAAAAGCCAAAGTGCAGATGGTCAATAAAGTGAACCTCTTATTGTCTGAGCCAGTGGAACTGTCACCTAACAAGAGGAGCTTTCCTTCCTTTGGTCATTGTTCTTTCTGCCTTCACTTTGATAGGGAGTGTTAGGAAAACTAAGAGAAATTGGATTCATCTTACTTTATTTCATTATGCCTTGAATCTCGCATGATATTGTACTACTTGTGACTCTTCACTTTGACCCTTTACACATATGATTAAGGAGCAGAGAAGCAAGGGCAGACAGCATACAGTCTTTAAGACTGTATCACTGAATTGTAAGAGTGTATTACTATTAGTTTGAACTTAGACCTTATTCATTTATTTAAAAAAACTTTGAATTGTCGGTCACGTACAATAAAAGGTGTTCATATACTGCTAGCAATTCTAAGAGTCACTGTATATTCTCAAGTAGAAATACTGGATGGGGGGGCAGGTGCTTTTTAAAAACAAGTTTATTCAGCTGATTACTTATTAGACTACTACACAGAAATAAAATTCATTTTCAATTAAAAATTAAATTATACTAGAAATTTATGGGTGAGTAAGGCAGATCTATTTCCCCTTGAACATCAGACTTAAAATTCCACACCATAAATACTAGAAGCATCTGTCAGAAGTTACTAATATGTAAAAAGGAAGTTACAGCATTGCTTTGTCTTTTTTTTATTAAATTTGTATTCACTAGAGATGTATACAGAGATGGAGACTCTTCTTTCTGGACTTTATTCCTCCCTGGAACAGGAATATAATTATTTGTGGCCTTGGGTATTTATGTTCCCCCCATTCCGTTTTTCCAGTTGCCAGTGGCAGGTTTTTTGTTTCATACAGGGCTGAGAAGCTAAAAATAATTTCCTTTTCCCCTGCTTGTGTTCCTTTGCTTTAATTTTGAAAGTTTTTTGTTTGTTTTAAACATACTTGGCCATCCTTTTATCCTTTGGGTCAACCAGGAATATATTTGTCCTGTTTTCAAACTTTAAAAAAAAATTATTTACCAGAACAGCTTGCAGTGTTGACCATCACACCTGACTGAAACTTAATTCCTATTCAATTAATAGTGGTAAAAGTGTGTTGAGAATTTGTATTAAGAGTGTCTTGTGTGTATGCTGCTTGAGGGCTGGTTGGGTTGTTGTTTTTCTTTAAATCAACTTGGATTTCTTACTCTATGTAAACAACTAAAAGAAAATATGTAACATTCATCATTGAAATACCCAAACATTGGCTCACAGAAGCAAAAGAATACTGTGCTTATTCAACTGAATATATCCTGTTTCTTACCCTTACTTGAAACGTGTCCACTCACATTAGTGAGGTACAGGTGAGGAAGAGCTAATAAATCATGTGTTCCTTTGGTTTTTAAATTCCATATCCTTTTTATTTTTAACTTTTTATTGAAGCACAGTGTATGTACAGAAATATGTATAGATCATGAATATACAGCTCAATGAATTTTACAAACTGAATATACATGGATAGTCATCTGGATCACCAGATCAAGAACAGAACATTAGCAACACCCCAGAAGAGCCCACTTATGCTCTCTTGGTTATCTCTGTACCACCCTCCTCACTCCACCCCTCCCTACCCCATTCACTATCCTGATTTCTAACAGAATGAATGATTTTTGCCCGTTCTTATACCCTTTGATGTTAACTTAAAGATTTCGGGAAGAGATTAACAAAAAAAGTCAGACAGTAGGAAAAGGAAAGAAAAGGTCTCTCCTACTACTTTTCCAGCTTTTTATGTATTCTTTCAGAGGTAGTCTATACTTAAAGTGTATCTGTTTGTAGCTCCTCTCCTACCTTTTTAAAAAATTGAAGTGTAGTTGATTTATGATATCATATTAGTTTCAGGTTTCTCCTCTCCCACCCTTTAATTGTACATTTGTTCTACTCCAAGGATATGTCTTCTTTGGGAAGGTACATGGTATTTTTGGGTATCAAAGTTTATCTTTTTAAGTCTTGCTAATATGAATGCTTCAACATTATGAGGTTTGGAATTTATTTTAATCACAAAATAAAGTTTTAGAAAACTTGAAATTAGAAAGGAAATACTAACAGCTGTCTATCTTTATGCAGTCCATTACAATGATGAGGAAGAAAATTATTCATTTTACTGGCCCTGATCAGAGAAAACAGGCAAATGCTGCTTTCCTTGTTGGATGTTATATGGTAAGTATTTAACTACTTTTCTAATGTATTAGTGAAAATACATACAACAGTGGTACTTTAAATTTGTGGTTGAAATTTTGAAATTACTTTTTCTTAGACATCTTGATTTCTTTCCAGAAAGAACATGTTTTGCTTTATAAAAATTGACCAACTGGGAAAGGCTATGGAGGGGGGAAGGGGTATATGGGAGATCTCTGTACCTTATACTCAGTTTTGCTGTGCTGAACCTAAAACTGCTCTAAAAAAGTCTATTTTTTAAAAAATTGACCAACTGGTGTGAAAACCTTTTTATGTGTTACGGCACTTAAGGTTGGAAAATAATGCCCCAAATCTGTGTTTTTATTAACTCATGATCCATTTAGTAAAGTTGTGAAGGTGGAATCAGGACCAATAATTGATTTAAAACAAAAACAACAAACATCAAAAGTGTATCACATGAGGTAAGAGTGCTGTATAATTTGAATACAGGCAATGTTTTCCTAAATAAGGTGTGATTCTAAACGCACCAAAACATGTCATAAGGACATGGCATGTCGGTACTGTAGGAAACTGGGTAACACACTGTGTAGATTACATACAACATTGAGTGGTTGGTATTTTTGGGTCATTGGAAGTATGCTTTGGAATAGCCAGTATTTCATGAGTTATGAATTTCATTTATTTGTAAATATCATGGAAAGTGGTTATTTAGAGGCAGATTTTATCTAGTGCCTGCATTCATCTTCAGGAGTACCTAAGTAACAGGTTTTCCTGAATAAGCTAAGAGGTCTTCCAGAGTGGTGGTCCTCATGTTTTTGGTGGTATGGAAGCTAGCTGTTCTACTCAGTGGAGAAGAATATCGAGTAGTTCCAGATAAAATAGGATTGGTGGGCTTCCCTGGTGGTGCAGTGTTTGGGAGTCCGCCTGCCGATTCAGAGAACACGGGTTCGTGCCCCGGTCCGGGAGGATCCCACATGCCGCGGAGTGGCTGGGGCCGTGAGTCATGGCCGCTGGGCCTGCGCCTCCGGAGCCTGTGCTCCGCAACGGGAGAGGCCACAACAGTGAGAGGCCCAAGTACTGCAAAAAAAAAAACAAAAACAAAAAAAACAGGGATTGGTGTTGGAGTTCTTGAGGTAAGTTCTTCTCCCAGGTTGCTACTTGGTTCTGTCATGCTTTCTTTTAAAATTTTCTGACATGTAGTTTGAACATATGGAATTTACAATGATAAGACTAAAATTTGGTGGTACAAGTTGAAATTGCACCTCAAAGTTGGGTAGTTTCCTTTTCTACGTTCAAGGTATATCATTAACAATGACTAAGGCCTTTTTGGGTTTTGTTTTTATATTTGTGCTCACAAAAGTAACTGAGAGGAATGTTTCTGAGATAACTAAGTTTTATTATCATCTCTGTATGAAACACAGGTTGTAGATTATATCTCTTAAAAATTGATTTTTTTTAAGCTTACCCAGATAAGGACTTTTGTTTGTTTTTTGGCTTTTGTCATCTCTCCTGATGTTTATTGTACTTAGCAGCAAAAATCCTGAGGGGGGAGGGTGGGTGGAAAGAGCCTCTGCAGGGTCCCAAGAAAAAGAATGGAGAAGGTAGCTGTTTTAATTGGGGTAATTGGTCCCCATGGATTAGAGTAAATTGTGACAGCTTTACAGGAAAAGGGACACAGCCAGAATTCTTGGTGTTCATAAAGTATTAAAGGGAACTGTGGAGAAATGGCCCTTGGTGTAACAGTAAAAGTCATTACACTGCCCAGGAGAAAATCTGGATGGCTGAAGCAGTTCCACCTAAGAGAACGTTCTCCTGATCAGAGCACACAGAGTTTGCCTGGGCTGCGTTGGAGTCAGTCATTTGTCTTTCTTTGTTAGATGAGATGTCCCTAAAACGGTGGGGTCTTGGGTAGCCAGATATGGTAAGTTCAGTGTGAAAGAACCCCTTAGAGGGTAGCTGTGGGCATCATGCAAACCAAGCATTGTCTTAGAAACAAAACACTTGATAATTTTATAGATAAGAAATCTCTCTTTTTAGATCTTCTTGCTGTTGTTTTTTTATAGCTAGTGAAAAAGCAGTAACCCCTTGGCATACTGATTGAAAATGTTTTAGCATGCTTGTTCCTAGTTTGGTGTTGGCCTTTTGACTTTGTTTATGGTTGTATTTTGGGATGCAGAAGTTTATTTTTCTACAGTTAATATATTTTAGATTTAGAAATCCTTCCAGGATTTTACACTCCCAGGTCAGCACTGATTTGATTGGTTAGGAAAGTGCCAGGTAAGTGATTTGGACTCAGGAATGAACTTGAGCTCATTCCTCTGTTCAGTTAGAAGCCAGGTTGGCAGGAGGTTTACAGCTCTTGGCTGTAGTAAATGTCTTTGCACCATGACTGGCTGGCTAAGGTAGGAGCTTGGAGCTGTAATGATGCTAGGTGGGGAAACAGGAGAAAAACTTCTAAGAAGAGGAGGTTTATTAATAGTAGGAAAGGAGTGTCAAGACATGATATGGATACCCCAAAAGATTAAACATCAAAGTAAGTAAGTAGTGTAGGTTTAATCTGGTTGAAGTCTATTGGATCCTCTGATTAAAAATTTGTAGAGATGAGTGAGAATTCCCCAAAAATTGACCTTCAGGCCTGATGACCTTTTCTGGAGTTGTTTGAGGAATTTTGGAGATAATAAGTCTTTTTAATGACTGACTTAGAGGATGGTGTAGTAATATTAAAACAAAAACAAAGTCTGGAGGAAGTATTCCAAATGGACTGATTCTATTTAAAAGGACTGACTCTATCCTTTTAAACTCTGGGCCTCTGAAAGTAATCATTCTCCCTTCGTTCTTGTGTACTCAAAAGGACCTAATAGGGGATGTGGAGAGAGTGGGAGAATAAAGTGTTAGTAATTATATTTATTTTTTTACCTTAAAAACAGAAGAGGTTAGGCTTTATAAATACTTAAAATACTCAAATACTTAAAATAGGACTGACATGCCCATACTTTTCAAATACATTGTATTTCTAAATATTACAGTTTATGTGGCCTGGCAAATGGATTTGCCAACTATCTGAAATGGTAGATTCTTGGGTAACAAATTAGGGTGCAACTAAAAATCTTTTTGTACCCCTCACCATAAAAGAGTTGAGGGACATAAAAGATAACTGGATTTTTTTTTTTTTTTTTTAACAAAAAGGTAAGTGAACCATATCATTTTACAAAATAATAAGTTTGCTACCCTGTTGTGATAAGTCAGTGGCTGTTTCCTAGCCAGATTTTGGGGTGGTGGTACTTAACCTGTCATTTCAAGTAAAGTTGAAATTCTAAGTGGCAAAGTAAGTGCTTTTCAAAACAAATTCACAATTGAGAGTGTATTTCTAAAATAAAAGTTTGAAACTTTGTCATTTTGCTATAAAAAAAAATGTCATGTGCAAAACCCATATTTGGACCCTTGAGAAATTTAGAAAAACTTCCTTTAAAAAATACTTTTATATTTATTTATAGAAGCAGGATATGTTCACCAGTGTAATTTTATCACCTGATTTTTTTAGTTAGTGATCTGTTCTTTCACTTTAGTACATGTTTTATCATCTTTATACCCAGATTGTATTTGTTTTTCTCAATTGATCCAAAGTGTCCAAACCAATATTTCATCCAGGACCACACATTGCATGTGGTGGTAGTGTCCTTAATCTCTCTCACACATGGTCCTTTTTGCTAACACTGATTTTTATAAAGAGGCCAGACCTATTTTCTTGTAGAAAGTTCCACCTTTTGAATTTCTCTGGTTTCTTCTTTGTGGTATTTTTTAACTTGTTTCTCCATTCTTTGTATTTCTTGTGAACTGGAAGTTTTACCTATAGGCTTGTGCATTAGTAGTCTATGTTGTATCCCATAAGAAGACATGTAATACCTAAATTACCATTAGTGGTGCTAAAAATGGCACCACTGGATTAGGTGCCAACCATCAAATCCCTTCAATATATTGTTTTCTCCTTATGATTTAAGCACTCTGTGTGGTGTTATTTTGGAACTGTTTGTATATTCAGTTCCCCATCAACCATGCATGTTGGTGTTTTAAACAACAATTGATCATACTTGCCTGAATCAATAATTTTATTAGGGTTTCAATATAACATTTTTCTAATTATTTCATTCATCCTTCACTTATTAGCTGGCTTACTTTTATGGAAATTGAGCTTTCTCTCATTCAGTTGGGGCTCTTTGGTTACCCTGAAACGAATTTTCCTACCGAGAAGGCAGAAAGAGTGGCCGTTTCCCTTTAATCACCAGTTTTTGAAGTATTACATGAATAGCCACAAAACAAAAATTTAAAACCCTATTTAAAGTCATTTAAATAATGTTTCATTGGGTTTGAACTCATTTGCTAAACATTTAAAAAACGTGCAGCACTTTCCCAACACCTGATTAGCATTTGGGAAGTTGGAAATTTACTAACCAAATGCACATCATTGCTGAATGGGATTAAAAAAATAAGTGTAATCATTCTTGCATTTGTATTTACATATCATGGTAATGTATCTTTTTTAGTTACAGCAGCCATTAAAATCAAGAATTGGAATAGCTGAACTTACAACTAGACTTTTATTTATTTTTATATATTTATTTTATTTTTGGCTGCTTTGGGTCTTCTTTGCTGTGTGCGGGCTTTCTCTAGTTGCGGCGAGTGGGGGCTACTCTTCGTTGCTGTGAGCAGGCTTTCATTGCGGTGGCTTCTCTTGCAGAGCACGGGCTCTAGGCATGCAGGCTTCAGTAGTTGTGGCTCACAGGCTCCAGAGCACAGGCTCAGTAGTTGTGGTGCACAGGCTTAGTTGCTCCACGGCACGTGGCATCTTCCCAGACCAGGGATTGAACCCGTGTCCCCTGCATTGGCAGGTGGATTCTTAACCACTGTGCCAGTAGGTGTAAACATTAATACCTAGCTGTGAACAGTTATTTGGAAGACGCCATTGTATAGGGGATGAAGTTTAGGGATTTAGGTTCAGATTGAGCTAGCTTTTAATTTCAGTT